AAAATTTTCAGAAGTTCGGATTGTCAGAATTTCACAGCAAAACTTTTTAAACACAAACATACTTTAATAACTCTTGGTTCTTTAGGATCAACATATAGCTCTACCATATAAAACCTATTGCATTAAATCTCCAATTTCAGTCAACACACAATTCAGCCGAAGCCAAGTTTTTAAGGAAAATAGTTTAGATCCACTCACTATTCTAACAACCGAAGCTCCCTGCACTCTCCTCCACTCTTCTCTCTCACTCTACCATTTTTCAGCCGCACCCATTCCCCTCTCTTCTCCGTTTTCTTCTTTCTTCATCTGGGCGAAAATCAAACTCCCTTTTTTTTAGCTTTTCTTTTTCTGCTCTGCTCTCGCTTTCTCCCTCTGCTCTCACTCTTCTTCTTCATTTGTGCCAAAATCAGCCCCTTTTCTTTCTTTTTTATATTTTTAATCTTTCTAAATTTATGCTTCTGCCCCTAGATTACAGGTAATCCCGCTAAACCCCTACCACATCAGCTTTTCTTTCAAATAAACCTCCAGATTTTGCCCCTTGTTACATGCAAACCCAAAAGCTTCCTTATCTTGCAATTTCATTCCCAATAAAACTTTTAAAAACTAACAGAAATCCCCTTCCATAAATATAAAATCACACAGAATATGTAATATGTATTAGGATTAAAAACGGGGTTTCACACTAAGTCTCTTCAGCATAATGAACTGTTAATGGACATAGACATATTGGCCCAACCACTTCAGTCTTTTTCTTTGGTTGTTTTATTTATTGATGTTAATTTCTTATATATGTGGCTCAATATAATAACTTGAGAGTTGAATTATTGATAAGATTTTAGGTGTGTAAACATTTAATATGCAGTTGAATTATTGATATGGTGGAGCCAATAGCAAAGACTTTTAAAACCAAAGTTGTTGAGAGTTTAATTATTTTAATTATATTTATTTCTATTTTCTATTATTTTCTGAGTCTACTAATTTCTCCCTCTAATTTCTTATCACAAATTCACCTGACTATTAGGAGTTAAGACACCTCAAACACCAATTCCATCACTAATTAATTGCTTAATTGCTTGCAGAATCGACTATTAAATTTAAGAAATCTAGAAGACCCTCATATCACGAATTTCAGGTGAGGAAAAACAGCCTTCATGTCCCACCACTTTTCAAAATTGAATGTCGACAAATTTAACAAAACCATCATTATTATTTATAATTTATCATGTTTAAGCGCTCTTGATTAATTATAGCAACTGAGTTTGTTATAGTTTTGATTGTTGCTCTTCATCTGATTATCATCCTTCTCTGTATGAGAATTTTAATTCATTCTTATCATTTCTTCCTACGTAGTCGAAACCATGCCAGTGGGAGAAGTCTTTCTTGGTGCTTTTCTTCAGGTGTTGTTTGACAGATTGGCGCCGAGTAAGTTGTCGCTCTTTCCATGCGAAGATGGCATACGTTTGGAGTTGAAGCAGTGGAAGAGAAAGTTTTTAATGATCAAGGCAGTGCTCAACGATGCCGAGGAGAAGCAAGAGAAGAACGAGGCTGTGAAAATGTGGTTGGAAGATCTCCAAGACTTGGCTTACGATGTGGAGGACATCCTGGATGAGTATGCCACTCAGGTTCTAGAGCGGGATTTGATGACAGAACAATCGACAAACAGAGTTGCTGATTACTTCTCTTCTTGGACTCCAAGTGCTCTGATTTCCCAGGCTGATATGAAGTCCAAGACAGAAGAGATAACTTGCCGTTTAGAAGATCTCTGTGAAGAAAAGAATTATCTTGGTCTGAAAGAGATTGCTGGAGGTTCATCTACTATTGCATGGCAAAGACTACCTAGTACATGTGTGCCAACTGAATCAGCAGTTATCGGAAGAGATGCTGATAAAGCCAAAATACTTGAAATGGTGTTAAGCAATAAACGGAGTGGTGGCAGATTACAAGTAATACCCATTGTTGGCCTAGGAGGAGTTGGCAAAACAACACTTGCTCGGGAGGTATATAATGACAAGGCAATGGAAGATTTCAATCCAAGAGCATGGACGTGTGTCTCGGATGATTTTGATGTTCTTCGTATCTCCAAGGCTATTTTTGAGTCAGTCACTGCATCAACTTGTACTCTAACGAACTTAAATGAAGTGCAGGTTCAGCTGAAAAATAAGATAGTGGGGAAAAAATTCTTGCTAGTCTTGGACGATGTTTGGAGTAAGGATTATGACTTGTGGGAAGCCCTAAAGTCTCCATTCTTGGCTGGAGCACCAGGAAGTAGAATAATTGTAACTACACGCAGCAAAGATGTTGCATCGACAATGGAACTAGAAGTATGTTATAACTTGGAGCTTCTGCCAGAAGATGCCTGTTGGGCCATATTTGAGAAGCATGTATCTCGGAGTAGAGTTATTACTGCAGGAAAGAATATGAAATTAATTCGGGAGAAAGTTGTCAACAAGTGTAAAGGCTTACCATTGGCGGCAAGAACGCTAGCTGGCCTTTTACGCTGTAAGCAAAAATATGTTGAATGGGTGGATATATTGGACAGCGAAATTTGGGATTTGCCGAAGGAAAGTAACATTCTTCCTATATTAAAATTAAGTTATTATCATCTTCCATCACATCTTAAGAGATGTTTTGCTTATTGTGCAATTTTTCCAAAGGATTATGAATTCAAGAAGGAAGAACTTGTAATTTTATGGATGGCAGAAGGATTTATTCAACAATCAAACCAGAAGAAGCAACTAGAAGACCTAGGTGACCAGTATTTTTGTGAGTTATTGTCAAGGTCCTTTTTTCAACAATTATGTAATGATAGTTTGAAATTTGTGATGCACGACCTTGTCCATGATTTGGCCCAATGGATTTCTCTAGAAACAAGTTTTAGATTTGAGGATGAATCGAGTGCCATGCAAATAAGAAGATGTGAAAGGATTCGACACTCTTCTTACACATTTAGGAAGTATGAAGTTGAGAAGAATTTTGAAGTCTTCCGCAGAATTGAGAAATTAAGGACATTCCTAAGAATATTTTCTCAACCAAAGTCAATATTAGATGAGAGTTATGTAAGTAAGTCAGTCTTTCCCAACTTATTGCCAAAGCTCCAAAAATTGAGATCACTATCTTTAACAAATTATCATGAGATTGAATTACCCGACTCAATTGGTGATTTGAAACATTTGAGGTATCTCAATCTTTCTAAATCTCAAATCACAAATCTACCCGAGTCAACAAGTTCACTATTCAATTTACAAAGTTTGTTATTAACTTGTTGTTATCGTCTCAAGAAGTTGCCTTTACAAATGGGAGATTTGATCAATCTTCGCCATCTTGATATTAGAGGTGCAAGACTTATAAGAGAGATGCCATTAGGAGTGAAAAAACTGAAATATCTTCAAACTTTATCTAATTTTGTTTTGGGTAAAGGCGTTGGATCTAGTTTGAAAGATTTGAAAGAATTAAAGTTTATTCGTGGAGAACTTTATATTTCGATGTTAGAAAATGCAATTGATTGTCATGAAACAGGAGATTATATATTGTGGGATAAGAAGGACTTAGAAGTGTTAGTACTAGAATGGCGTTCTTCTATGCCCTATCCAGATGAAGCAGGGAAAATAGTTCTCGATATTTTACAACCCCATAAAAATCTTAAAGAGCTCACAATCAATAATTTTGGCGGCAAACATTTTTCATCTTGGATAGGAGATCCATCATTCTCTAATATGGTGGTCCTAAAAGTGGATGGATGTGAAAGTTGCATAACCTTGCCTTCGATTGGGCTATTGGGGTCACTTAAAAACCTCACCATTAAAGGGATGAAAATGCTTAAAAAAGTAGGCTGTGAGATCTATGGGGAGAGTTGTTCAGAGTGTTTTCAATCATTAGAGACACTTTGTTTTGAGAATCTGCCTGAATGGGAGCAGTGGGATCCTTTTGAGGAAAAGTTGCATGCGGAAAGTTTCTCTTGTCTCCGAAAGCTTTCCATCAAACAATGTCCCAAACTCTATGGAAGATTACCCAACCGTCTTCCTTCATTAAAGGAAATTGTGATTAGTGAATGTGAGCAATTGGTTGTTTCGTTCGCAAGCCTTCCAGTACTCTGCAGTTTAAAAATAGAAAGATGCAAAGGCGTAGTATGCAATAGTCCAATTGACTCCCAATCACTGAACCCTCTTCCTTTATTGGAGACTGTAATGATTAAGGAATGTGAGGAATTGAAGGTTTCTTTCTCAAAGCTTCCTCTGCTCCACTCACTGGAAATAAATAGATGCAAAGGATCAGACGTTGCTGGGTTTAGAAGTTGGTCAAAGGATGAATTTCAGAAATTAGAAACTCTAACAATCGTTGGTTGTGAGGAGCTCATACAACTGTGGCCAAATGTGATATGTCCTGAGAAGCCACCACATGGGTTGGGATTGGATTGCTTTATCTTGCTTAAAGAGCTATATTTGACTGAGCTTCCAAATCTAGTTTCGTTTCCAGATGGTTCTCTTTCCAGTCTCACCAAAGTTCAAATTTGGAATTGTGAAGCCATAACATCGTTACATGAGGGGTTGAAGCACAACAATGCACGTATTGAGCATTTGAGTGTTGCTAGCTGTCCTTCTCTAATGTTCATTGTGAGAGGCCGACTACCTTCATCGCTAAAAACCCTTTGGGTAGAGGATTGTGAAAAATTGGGGAATATTTGGAATGATAGAGAGGATACTTGTACTTCTTCTCCATCTTCTTCTTTTTCATTGATGCAGAAGGAGAATGTGGACAATACCACTACATCTTTTCTTTGCGAATTGAATATATCACAATGCCCTTCTCTCACGCAGTTATCATCAACACACCACTTACCTTCAACACTTACAGGGCTTTTTATTGGCTATTGTTCAAATCTCAGGACGTTAATAGCAGGATGACAGTTACCCAAGGCACTTAAATTCCTCCGATTTGAAGATTGCCCAAAGCTAGAGTTAGAAGAGGTCAGTTTTGATAATAACGCGTCTCTTGATCGTGTTTGGATCAGCGGATGTGAAAATCTTAGATCAGTTCCCGAAGGCCTACACACTCTACACAATCTTAGTTATGTGAGAGTAGAAAATTGCCCAAAACTTGTTTCTTTCGTAAAAGATGGGCTTCCTAACACTGAACTAACAGTCTTTATCAGTGGATGTGAGAAACTACAAGCCCTACCTAGTCACATGCACACCCTCAAATCTCTTCAATCCCTAACCTTATGGAATAATCCAAAAATGGCATTCTTTCCTGAACAAGACATCCCCACCAATCTGACATCACTTGACATTGATGATCCCAAAATCTACAACTCACTTGCTGAGTGGGGCTTCCACAAACTCATCTCCCTTCGAAAACTTAGGATTGTTGGATCCCCAGAGGCAGTGTCTTTTCCAGAGGAGGAAAAGGGAATGAAGTTGCCAGCCTCTCTAGTTCATCTAAAATTACAAAAATTCCCAAACTTGAAATACCTATCTTCCAACGGTTTCCAGAATCTCACCTCTCTTGAAAACTTGGATATCTTTACTTGCCCAAATCTCACATCCTTGCCACACTTTCCATCCTCGCTTCTGCGACTAACTATTTATGGTTGTCATGTGCTGAAGAAACGGTGCGAACGTGGTGAAGGACAAGACTGGTCCAAGATAGCCCACATCCCGTATGTTAAGATAGACAGCCAGTTCATCTAGATCCAGAGGAGGAACAATGATGTCCATTTGATATCAGAAGGAATGGAAAAGGCGGAATCACCTAGGGGCTATTCAGGTCTGTCCATTTCTAGAACCCACACCATTAACTTTTATCAAGACAAATTAGATTTTTATTAAACTGACAGTTGATTAATAATTATGTGCTCCCGCAGGAACCAACTTGATTGTATCAACTCGAATGCATATGCCAACATGGCAATGGCAGCGGTAGCTTTACCATATGGTTTGTCGAAATATAACAAAAGTCATGTCATTAGTAGAATTTGTTGTTTATATTGCAATTTAAAGTGATTTGAGCATGCCCACCATATAATCCTTCCCTAAACTTGGACTCTTAAAGGTTGATTGGACGGTTGTGAAAACAGAGGCTGATACAAAGCTCACCGCATTGCACGAATAATGTAAGTTTAATTTTTATTCGTCTTGCTAGTAACACAATGTAAGAGGCTTCAGTTCTGTTTTATTCCCTGTTAGTGATATTTCAGGCCTACATGTTGGTCATTAAAATTATGTCGTAGCTTGGAATTTGATTGTTCTTGCATCATTTTGAAAATTGTCCTCTCAATTTGTTTTTCTTATGTTCTATAAGGGTATTTTTTTTCTTTTTTCAGAGGAAGCAAGTGGACTATTTGATACTGGGTTCCTGAAGTTAACTGTTTCGTTGCCTCATGCAGTCTTCTAACTATTGTGGGTAAAAAGTAAGAAAAAGAAATCTGGACTGAGTCAAATTCTGATGTTTTGCAATTTTTGATGTATATGATTTTCATAGATATTAAACTTGTTATATACTTTGGTCCTGGTTTCTTTACAGCTGAGTCAAACTCTGATGTTTTGCAATGGTATACTATGCTTAGTAGAGCTCCAGCTGATTTTAGCCGTACAGGTATAGGCAACATCGATTATGCTTCAAAGGATAAATTTCAGGAGTTATTTATGGACTTTAACTCTGAAAGTTATTTCTTGTGAAGATCTCATTTGGAGTGAACAACAAAGGGTTGCCGTGATTCTGAGTTGCTGGCCTACTACAGTTGTTTTTAAAAAGTTTCTATGACTGTCTTGCGGAGTTCCTGAAGAATAAGAAAATTTTTGTTGCTGAACAATCTGTTATAGCCTTTCCAAGGTTTGAATTTCTAGTCCTATAAACATGTTTTTGCAGTGTCCATTATGCTGATATTCTTGTTTTTATAAGACTAAGCTAAGATGATTGTCCTTTCCGAACCTCGGTCTATCATCCTCTCTTGTGCAATTACTTATGATTGCAGGAAAAAAAACAGTGCAAAAGGGATGACGGAAAAGACTGTCCAAGATAGCCCACATCCCCTTGTGTTAAGATAGACCTTGAGTTCATCTATGATCCGGATGAAGAAGAATCAACTTGATTTGATCTTTTCGCAATTTTGTGTAGAGGTGTTGGTGTTCAAGTGCCGGAATTTTGTTGCTGAAGAATCTCTTGAAGCCTTTCCAAGGTTATGATTTGCTATGCCTATGGCCATGGCTTATTTTTCAACAATTGAATAATGATACTATAGTTTGAAATTGGTTAACTAATTGGGTTTTATATTACCTGGAATTGTTTATATTTGGTGGGCTGGCCTGTTAATACTGATGAGGGTTTTGGGTATTGGGTTTGATTGATATTGGTGGGGAGAATAATAGGAGAAGGCATGGAATGCAATGCAGGGGGTAGATTGTCATTTCTACAAGTATTAAAACACAGGTAGGGGGTAATTGTAAGGATTTAGATTATGCAGGACTTTGGAAACATTTAAAAGTATAGGGGTTATGAGTCCAAAGATTCAGCGGGTAACTGGTGATTTTACATGATTATTGGTTATGATGTTTCAAGCATGGCACGCATCTTTTTGCATTTTGTTTTAAATGAAAGCAAGTATTTTTTTGATATTATTACTTATATGTATTTGCATATGAACATGCATAATTCGTGATGTGTTGGGCATTCGGATGCATTGTGTGATGATGTGTTTTATTCATCGGATTGGAGACCACCTTTTATAGTACTCATCCCCCTCTAAGCATTAGTTGACATTTTATATTTATCCTCATACGTGCATTGAGATGGTTCGTCCTAATGAACAATTGTGTTATCTTATTGGGATAGGACGGATGCCTGACAAGCTCTAGGTGGGATTACACCAAGTGGGTATTGGCCAGTGTGGGATTTTGATGCCCTAAAGGTAGACTGTGGGTGGAATTATATTTGAGTCATATCATGACGCCCTGAGAGTAGGTTGTGAGTCGAGTATGGTTATTTAGTGACGATTATACCATCCCAAGGGTAGACTATGGATGGTACTACCCCGAGGGTAAACTGTGGGTGGTGTAACTACTTGTCTGTATTTGGAACCGACAAGTGAGAGGCATGACTTAGGTCCCTGGGTACTAGTATGGTGGTGGTGATTGTTTTGGGTTTATATGACCTTGGTATGTTGTTCCATAGCATCTGAAAATATCATACGGTGATTATTGCTTATCTTGTGAGTGGTTATGGTGTTGTATGACATCTAATCATATTTGTTTTTATGAAATGTTTTCAAAATATTCACCCTCTTGTCGGAATCCTAAGTCTCCTGGAGCGCCTGGATTCAGTGGGATAGGAATACCCGCGAGGGGGCCGTGACATAAAAGGCTTCTGCTACTACTTTATTAAATTCTCCACAGGTGCAGTTCACCATCGGGAGAGTTATAAAGAATGCTGCTGAAAGCTCTGTGGAAGGTTTTCACAGGTTATGATTTTCCAGGCCTATGGCCAGATCTCGTAGTTCTTTTTGAAAAATAAATAATTAAATAAACCAGCTGCTGATACATTCTTCTTGGTTTTAGACCAAATATTGCAGAACGATTGTCCTTTGTACGAAAACACAATGCAATGGGTAATGGGACAAGGATGCGAGTGGTACAAGATATATAGCCACATTCCTTGGATTAAGATCGATCACAAGTTCATTTACAAACTAGACGGAGATTCAATCCATTAGTTCGGTGGGACAGAATAATGCAAGTTAAGTTAAGGTGACGTATATACGAAACTAGTAACATATTTTAATGGGTCGCAATGCTATTTCTTTCAAGTCTCTCTGGTTTCCTTGAAGGGCTTTTCTTTTATTTTTATTTTTCAGTGGGACTTTTTTAATCTAGATTCGGAGTACTCATCCAGTCAGTTTGAAGATTAAGGGCTTGCTGAAATTAACTTCCGAAACTTCAGATGTTTTTTAGGCACATTTTGACAGATGCAACTAAGGCTATGCTCGAAGGATGAATTTCTGGAGTTATTTTCATAATTCGTCGAAAAAAGTTATTTCTGATGAGAAACGTTTGAAGAACATTCAGAATTTGTTGAAAGTTTCTGCTGCTGCTGCTTATTACCCAAATGTAGAGACATTTTGATAGCTCAAAAGGAATTTTCTATTGTCTTATTTTAATTATTGGATATAATTAAAATGAACAGACACTGACATCAACTTTTACTGAACATTTTCATAACCCTGCATAACAAAATGTCAATTTATCGAAACTAGATTTGAAAAGTAAATCCAAGATTATTTGATAGTACCGAAACTTTTTCCTTTTTTTATGTGAAAAGTTGTTCTATTCATTAGCAACACAGACGGCAACTCCGATGATTAAATCAATGCAACTTACCAACAGCACAAACTTGTTAAAACAACTTCAAAGAAATTGTTAAGAACAATTGCTATATATTTCTGCAAATAAAAAAATTTGAATATTCCAAGGTTAAATTCTGAAATAGGCCAAACTAATATACAAAATGCCAAAACATCAATGATAATTTATGAATACTTTTTCATTTATCTTATATCGGTCGATACAGAAGCTGAGTAAATTTTTTCTTGCTTGCAGAGACTGATTGTTAAGAAGTTAAGAGTACCCTCTGATCACAAACTACAGGTAAAAAAATCCTTCATACTGTTGAACAATTTTTGAAAGCATCTTGTGTTGGTTTACTCTACAATTTTCTAAAATCCAAACATTGAAGTTTATATTTTTCCTAAGGATTATGAATTCAAGAAGGAAGAACTTGTACTTTTATGGATGGCAGAAGGACTTATTCAGTAATCAAACCATAAGAAGCAACTAGAAGACCTCGGTTGCGAGTATTTTTTTGAGTTATTATCAAGGTCAATTTTTCAACAATTGAATAATGATACTGCAGTTTGAAATTTGTGATGCACGACCTTGTCCATGATTTGGCCCAATCGATTTCTCGAGAAACAAGTTCTAGATTTGAGGATGAATTGAGTGTCATGCAAATAAAAAGACATGAAAGGATTCGACACTCTTCTTACACATTTAGAGAGTATGAAGTTGAGAAGAACTTCAAAGTCTTCCATGGAGTTGAGTAGCTAAGGACGTTCCTGAGAATAGTTTGGCCACCAAAGTCAATATATGGTTGGAGTTACGTAAATCAGCCAGTCTTTTCCAATTTATTGCCAAAGCTCAGAAAATTGAGATCACTGTCTTTAACAAATTATCGTGAGATTGAACTACCCAACTCAATTAGTGATTTGAAACATTTGAGGCATCTTAATCTTTTTGAAACTCAAATCATAAATCTACCCAAGTCAACAAGTTTACTATTCAATTTACAAAGTTTGCTATTAAGAAATTGTTTCGCTCTCAAAAAGTTGCCTCTACAAATGAGAAATTTGATCAATCTATGCCATGTTGATATTAGAGGTGCAACACTTATAAGAGAAATGCCTTTGGGATTGAAAAAACTGAAATGCATTCGAACCTTATTTAATTTTGTTATAGGTAAAGGTGTCGGATATAATTTGAAAGATTTGAACGAATTAAAGTTTATTCGTGGAGAACTTTATATTTCAAGATTAGAGAATGCAGATGATTGTTATGAAACAAGAGATTCTATATTGTGCCATAAGAATAACATAGAAGTGTTAGGGCTATAATGGAGTTCTTCTATGCCTTCTCGACATGAAGTAGAGAAAATTGTTCTTGACATTTTACGACCCCATAAAAATCTGAAAGAGCTCACAATCAATAACTTTTGCGGCAAAAAAATTTCATCTTGGATAGGAGATCCATCATTCTCTAATATGGTGGTTTTGAAATTGGATGGATGTGAAAGTTGCATGACTTTACCTTCGATTGGGCTTTTGGGCTCACTTAAAAACCTCACCGTTAAAGGGATGAAAATGCTTAAAAAAGTAGCCTGTGAGATATATGGGGAGAGTTGCTCAGAGTGTTTTCGATCATTAGAGACTTTGTTTTGAGAATTTGCCGGAATGGGAGCATTGGGATCCTTTTGAGGAAACAACGATGCAAAAGGAATGAAGGACAGGAGTGGTCACAGATAGCCCACATCCCTTGTGTTAAGATGGATTGAAAGTTCATTTTTAGA